CAGGTGAAACCGGTCAGAACCCCTTTGTGATGGGATATGTACACTGTACGTCCCCGCCACGAAATGCCCAAATTATTGATCACGTAGACTGTATGTGATCAGCCACCGGGGGCTGTGGAATTGAGTATTGAGGCATCCATTAATGAGAGATAGGCTTTTTCAGACACCCAATCCCTTGCAGGAATCGGGTGTCTCATAATGATAGCAGTGCAGTATTTACTGCAATTGCTGTCACTGACAGCTGGTACAGATCGGAATCCCAATGTGTACCGGCTTTTTTCTACAATGTTTCATAATAGAAAACTACATGCTTCTACTTTATCCTTCACTGACAGGATCAGGGTCACGTAAATGAAGAAGCAGTCATAGTGACAACAATTCACAATGACTGCTTGATATAATTAAAAATAAATACAAGTGTTAAAAATTATATACAATATATTTGTATGCTATTATTCTTGAAACAACTAATTGATAAAATCGATTATAATCAAATAATGAGAATCGTTATTCTCATTATCGATTAGTTGATTTTCGATTAATTGAATCCCCCCCGCCACTCTGCTCCTCCCTGCAGGTGTCGGCTGCACTGGCCTGTGTCCCTTTCATTCCCCGCCTGTATCGGCAGAGGCAGCAGGGGCACAGACCTCTGCAGTCGGCACTAGCGGGGAGGAGAGACTGCGCTATGTGTTATTTTAAATTGCAATAGCAAATAGCAGGCAGGCTATTGCACCCACCCACTGCCTGCTGTCAATCAGCAGGAGAACCTGAAGGAGAAGCACATTAAGGTCATGGAGTGGCCTAGTCAGTCTCCAGACCATAATCCTATAGAAAATTTATGGAGGGAGCTGAAACTTTGAGTTGCCAAGCAACAGCCAAGAAAGCTTAAAAGAAGAACTATGAAGCGAGTGCTTTTCACTCACCTCATAGTTCTAGCCGACCTGTGACAATGAGATTGTCACAGGTCGGCTCAGTAGATCGGGAAGTGAGCGAACACATACCGGCGTTCGATCACTTCTCGATCCTGTTACGGCTTTCTGCCGTGACAGAGAAGGAACTGGATTCCCCCCTCCCCGCTCCTCCAGCGCTGACTGGCAGGAACGGACGGGGGAGGGTACAGCTGGCTCTGCCTCTAGGTAGGCAGAGCCAGCTGTCACTCACGCAGCTGGGCGGATCCAGACATAATTGTCGGGATCTGCTTCAGCTGTGGCGTCTCAGTGTAACGCGAGCTGTGGCTCGCGGTATACTGAGCTTGGGGTGACGGGAGGACGCTAGTTTGTGTCCTCCCGTTACCCTAATGAGAACTATGTGGAAAAGCCCTAACACCATAGTTCTCCTTTAAGGATTTAGAGAAGATCTCTAAAGAAGAGTGGACCAAAATCCCTCCTTAGATGTGTGCAAATCTGGTAACCAACTGCAAGAAACGTCTTACCTCTGTGCTTGCCAACAAGGGTTTCTCCACTATGTACGAAGTGATGTTTTGCTTGGGGATCAAATACTTATTTTACTCACTGAACTGCAACTGAATTCATAACATTTGTATCATGTGTTAAAAATTATAGACCTTTCACTTCTTTGTAAGTGGACAAACTTACAAAATCTGCAGGGGATCTAACTCCATGAAACTAATTAAAAAATCTCTCTCTCTCTCGCTCTCAAAATCATTGGATGCAGATGTTCCAATCACCTCCATGGCTACAGGTGTCTAAATTCAATCACCTAGGCATGCAGACTGCTTCTACAAACATTTGTGAAAGAATGGGTTGCTCTCAGGAGCTCAGTGAATTCAAGCGTGGTACCGTGATAAGTAGCCACCTGTGCAATAAGTCGATCTGTGAAATTTCCTTGCTACTAAATATTCCACAGTCAACTGTTAGTGGGATTATAAAAAAGTGGAAGCAACTGGGAACAACAGCTACAAAGTGGTAGGCCACGAAAAATGACAGAGGGGGTCAGCACATGCTACAAACCTCCAAACTTTATGCGGCACAACAACAACAGTATGTAGAGATTTTCATGGAATGGGTTTCCATGGACGAGCAGCTGCAGCCAAGCATTACATCACCAAGTGCAATGCAAAGCGTCGGATGCAGCGGTGTAAAGCATGCCGCCACTGGACTCTAGAGAAGTGGAGACTTGTTCTCTGGAGTGACTAATCACGCTTCTTCGTCTGGCAATCCGATGAACGTGTTCGGGTTTGGCGGTTGCCAGGAGAATGGTACTTGCCTAACTGCATTGTGTCAAGTGTAAAGTTTGGTGGCGGGGGATAATGGTGTGGGGCTGCTTTTCAGGGGTTGGGCTTAGCCCCTTAGCTCCAGTGAAGGGAACGCTTAAGGCATCACCATACCAAGACATTTTGGACAATTTCATGCTTCCAACTTTGTGGACGCCTTCCCAGAAGAGTTGAAGCTGTTATAGCTGCAAAGGGTGGGCCAACTCAATATTGAGCTAGATCATATGCGAATAAGGAGCAGAATGAAAAATCATGCACACATGTTCCTTGAAAGTAATTGAGTGATGTTTCTTCGATAACATTATCTCATACATTTGAGAGGGAAATTAAAATAACATGTCAACAGGTTAAACTTTAAAAGCCAATTATAAAAATGTCCTAGCAAACAAGATTTTATGAATACATTGTCTTTAGGGCTGCAGCTAACGATTATTTTAATAAATTGATTAGCTAGCTGATTATTAACCGATTAAATCGGATGAAAAAAACCTGTAATTTATTTTAAATAAAATACACAAATGCAGCATTACAGAAAGTTTACTTCAGAATAAACCGGTATGCACATTTTTTGAAATCGCACTGCAACGGAGGGCATTGCAGTACCATGTGTTCCAGTGCGGGCGATCACACTGCGGACGGGAGGTGCATTTGGGATCCATTGAAATGAATGGCACCGCAACGCACCTCCTGCAGCAAAAAATGTCAGGCCGAAACTGAAAATGTTCCCACCTTTTACATATATATATTTTTTAAATAATGATATGTATTATATTAGACATTTTAATTAGTTTCATGGATTTAAAATAATGTGAATTGTAAAACTCTAAGTCAATATAATAAAATAACCAACCTTTTATTTAAAAATTAATGTTAGTTTAACTTTTTTTGCATTTTTTGGTCTGTCCCTGAATGGACTGCGCTGTTGTGAACAGAGCCCAAAAATACCATAGGGATACATTGGGATGCTTTTCTGGTCTGGTAACAAACGCTTCTGGTCTGGCTATGGTGTGAACAAGCCCGCAGTGCAATCGGACAGGTGGCAAAACATTGCCTGCGTTTTGGTCCACTGCGAGCGCAAAAAATGTTGCATGCTCTATTGTTTGCGTTTGCAGTGGACCAGAACACAGGCAATAATTTGCCACGTTGCCGATCACATGCGGGCGGCGTGGCTGCGGTGCTATTGACTTCAATGCACCGCCATAGTGCCACTCTGGAACGTACCGCAATTGGTGTGAATTAGCCCTAAAGCAGATTGAAGTCGTTTCAAAACACTGTTGAATACAAGAATGCTTTGTTGCAAAATAGTCCAAATAAAACTGTCCAAACACTGCATAAAACTGGAGCTGTGATTGGACCTGCCAGCACTAGCTGGCTCGACAAAAGTCGATTATTAAATTGCCGTTTGGTTGCAGTCACTGTCTGTCTGAAAAACAATTTTTCACCCAACTCCCTTGCAATCAGCTGCTGTCACTGTTCGGGTGTTCTGACAGCGGCGGGCCACTGCTGCTAGAAAACAATAGGCCAACAGTGGAAATGTATCCATCACACTAATTAGCACGGATGGAGGAATCCAGCCAGCTCACAGGCTAAAAAAAAAGAAAATGTTTTTTTTTTTAACAAAGGATTTTAAATAAAGGATATCATCACACTTTTGTTGATACTCCGCAAGCAGTTGGCTGCAAAACAGGTAAAAAGAAAACAATAAATAACAGATATTAAATGGTTATACAAGTTTATCCTAAAATCCAACATTTCCTAAATATTCAAATTATTTTAACAATGCATTTTAGACTTTCTGTCCTGTATATTTTTCATTGAACTACCCCCTAATATCCTTTTTCTGTACTTTCATCCTCCCTTCTACCTATTTTCCACACTCCGCCACCCAAACTCACTCAGATCTTAGTTACTCAAATAATGCTGCTTTTTCATTCTCTTGACTGTCTCCTAGATTGAAGTCTGATAAATATAAAATTTGACAAGGATGTGTGTTCAATTATTTTTAGTAGATTAAATCTTTCATTACATTTGAAATAACAACGAAATAAATAAAATGAAAAATCAGAAAACAGTGTATAAACTGACATTTACATTTAGCTATTTAAATCATGCACATTCATAATGAAAAGACTGTACAAACCTACAAAAAAGTAGAACTTTTACTTACTCTGAATCAATAATCCTTTGCTTAAGAGCTATTAATGCTGCTACATATTCATTTAAACTCTGAAATAGGAAAAACAGCATGCTGTTAGACTAGATACTCATACTTTAGAATCAGTATAACATTGAAGACAATTGAATGCGCAATTCTGGAGCCAGTTTACAATTTTAGCCAGGAGATATTACTGTACCTACAACAACTATGTCCTGGTCGCACTTGACAGTATGCCTGAAAGGGGGCAAAAAGACACTAGTAGGGCCGAGAGAAAAAAAACAAAACAAAAAAAACACAACAACTTTAATGAAAGACAACTGAAACATCAATTAGTGCAAGTGAAAAAAAAAACCCTTTTGTGGTTCAATCTCTCACAATTCATCGACAACCTGTTCAAAATTGCTGGCTGACAATAGATTTTTACATTTGAACGTTTCCTGAGGGAGGGGAATCTGATCCACGTTGACCTGGCTTAGTCATGCTGGGGCTTGATAGGACATGCCGATTTGGGATGTGCTCGGAAACAGCACAAATGTGCAGCAAACTACATTGGCTATAGTTACACACCATGTAATTGAAATTGTTGCAAATTTGAGCCTTGCCTAAAAAATGGATAGGTCTTCCCAACTTATGATTTTGGACTGTATGTGGTGTAGCCCCACTATCGGTAGGAGTTATTGAGGAGGAGGAAGTAGCAGAAGGACACCAAGTAGAAGTTTGTATAGGGGACTGACAACTAGCACAAACTGGGGCTTTCAGGCAAAATGCTGACAAAACAGTTCCATGTCTATATTGCTCCAATTGGTAACCACCTGGAACTGTGATCAAATAGCTGCAGCTTTGGTGGAAAACGAACAGTGATAATCATAAAGGGCCGATCCGCTGTATTTGTGAGAGAGGTTTACGACCTTGTAAAGATATAAATCTAGTTCTTCCCTCCTTTGTGAGTTAACCGTGCAAATTATGCCCCAGAATAGGCTAAATGGTGAGAACAAACTCTCCCAGGGAGAGCTTACGATTAAGCCTAGGATCCTTGGTTTTGAGCACAACTGACACTTCCCCACAAGCATAAGATTTATTCTCTGCCACATCATGAGCAGCAATCAACATCCTTCCCCTTAAGGATGTCCTTCTTAAAAGGATATTTAAACCCTCAGGGGTTTTTGCATATATCTACTGCTAGCAAGCAGTAGATACAGTTGTGTGAAAAAGCATTGGCCTTCTCCAGGGAACCACAGTGAGAGCCATTATCCACAAATGGCAAAAACATGGAACAGTGTGAACCTTCCCAGGAGTGGGCGGCCAACCAAAATTACCCCAAGAGCGCAGCGACGACTCATCCAAGAGGTCACAAAAGACCCCACAACATCCGAAGAACTGCAGGCTTCACTTGCCTCAGTTCAGGTCAGTGTTCATGATTCCACCATAAGAAAGAGACTGGGCAAAAATGGCCTGCATGGCAGAGTTCCAAGACGAAAACTGCTGCTGAGCAAAAAGAACATAAAAGCTCGTCTCCGTTATGCCAGAAAACATCTTGATGATCCCCAAGACTTTTGGGAAAATACTCTGTGGACTGACGAGACAAAAGTTGAACTTTTTGGAAGGTGTGTGTCCCATTACATCTGGCGTAAGAGTAACACCGCATTTAAGAAAAAGATCATACCAACAGTAAAATATGGTGGTGGTAGTGTGATGGTCTGGGGCTGTTTTGCTGCTTCAGGACCTGGAAGACTTGCTCTGATAAATGGAACCATGAATTCTGCTGTCTACCAAAAAATCCTAAAGGATAATGTGTGGCCATCTGTTTGTGACCTCAAGATGAAGCGAACTTGGGTTCTGCAGCAGGACAATGATCCAAAGGCAAGTCCACCTCTGAATGGCTGAAGAAAAATAAAATGAAGACTTGTAGTGGCCTAGTCAAAGTCCTGACCTAAATCCTATTGAGATGCTGTGGCATGACCTTAAAAAGGCGGTTCATGCTCAAAAACCTTCCAATGTGGCTGAATTACAACAATTCTGCAAAGATGAGTGGACCAAAATTCCTGCACAGCGCTGTAACAGACTCATTTCAAGTTATCGCAATCGCTTGATTACAGTTCTTGCTGCTAAAGGGTGGCCCAACCAGTTATTAGGTTTCAGGGGCAAACACTTTTTCACACAGGGCCATGTGGGTTTGGATTTTGTTTTCCCTTAATAAAACCTTCCTTTAAAAACTGCATGTTGTGTTTACTTGTGTAACTGTGACAAACGTGCAAAACAATGAAAAGTCAGGGAGGGGGGCAAAATACTTTTTCACACAACTGTTTATGCAAAAACATTTTTTTTTAAAAGTTACGAAAAAAAAAAACTTACCTGCGTCTCCACCGCACGCTACAGTACGAAGATCTGAAAAATCTCGGGTGGCCGCAAAGGATCATGGGAAGAGTGCATGCGCAGTACAGATCTTCGGCCGGGAGACGCACAGGGTAAGTCAATGCACGCAGCCCAGCAGTGTGCACCCGCACAGATTCCGTGGGACACAGAAGACAGAGCAGTCAGCGCCGGATCAGAGACCGGCACTAGCGCTGGAGAGGCTGCTGAAAACTACAAGACAGGTGATCGGATCAAGAGGCATCATTTAAGGCAAGTCCTTGTACTAACATTTGGAGGGGGTGGGGTATCCTTTAATGTCACTTTAATGCTAGGGGGAACAAAATAAGCTAGGGCTATCACACCACGCCCTGAGTGGGAGCGGAGACCAGGAGAGGTACTGCAGGAATATCTGCTGTGACAGCAAGTGCTGAGGAGGTACCTGATATGACTGGTGCCTCGGGGGTGAAAGGGCATTTCTCAACTGTCGCCCCCCTGTTTTGCAAATCCTGTATGGACATAGTTAATGAATTCTGGACTGAATGCATCTGAGTAAGCGCAGTACGAAGAGAAGCATGTTTTGCACTGGTGGATGGCCTGCCCTGTGAGGCATTAGAAAACTTAAAAATTTAAATAATTCAGCCTTCCTGGCTGAAGCTGGAAATAGAACGCCTCTAAGGTCTCGTTCACACCTAGGCGTATTGCATATGCGCGACCGTCGCGCGTTTTTTTACCGCGATTCGCGGTAAAAAAAGTCTTGCGACCGTCGCGCGTTTCCGGAGGCTACTTGGCTGTATCCCAATGGAAACGCGCAACAAAACGGCCCAAAGTAGTACATGTACCTTTTCAGGCGTGGGCCGTTTTGTAGCGCGTTAGGGACGGGTGGAAATACGCCAAGGTGGGAACGAGACCATTGAATACAATGGGATTTATATTTTTGAGCGTTTTGTAGAGCGTTTGTCGAGCGTAGAACGCGCTACAAAACGTTCAGGTGTGAACGAGGGTTAAGCTGAAGTTCAGCTGTTAACCTTGGTACTGTCCAAGTCCTAAAAGGGGAGGAGTGCTGCCATGTTCCAACTCTTTAGCTTGTGACGGGCAGATGGAAGTCAACTCCTTGCTATCAGACAGGAGACATGAGCAGAAAAAAAAAAACCAGACCAGACTGAAAAACCAAGTACCACCCAGTGCATCCAGACTACACCAACAGTGAAACATGAATGAAACCAGTAAACAATAGATACTAAAAGAGGGGGCGACAAATAAAACGGAAGGAAATATGTACATTGTCTGGGCTATCTAGCTACGAGTATATGATCGTTTCCACTGCAAGCATGTGCAAAAATAAAAATGAGCCCAAGCAGACCTGAGACATCAACAGGCCAATTAAAAATTAGACACTCAGGGCTAACTTATCTGAAAGTCGTGGCAGATATAATGATGAATGGGTGATGTGGGTGGAAGAACTGTAGTAAATTAAAAACGTAATCTGAGCCCATATTGCCCTGAAAACGCGCAGGAGGGAGTGCTCAATTTATTTTTCTATTTTAAAAAAAGTAAATGTCAAAAAAATAATTAAAAAAATAATTTTCAAAAATGAAAATTATCCCCTCCCCCCCACACACGTATTATTAGACATGTGCAAAGACTAAAAATGCATTTCAGATGAAATGAACGAAAACTAAAAACGTTTTAATTTGTTTCATCAACAAAACAAAGTTTTATGCTATTTTGGATTCAGCCATTGGCGTGTTCTGGAGGCAGGGCGCATGATGTCATATGACACCGCACGTGTTGGGCGGCGCCATCTTGGTGTATATCTAGGTATACACCAAGATGGCGCCGCCTATATCGGCGTGTGACGTCACCTGGCGCCACACATGCATGGCGTCATGCTCCCTGCCTCCAAGATGGTGGCACGCATTCGCAGAACGTACTGGTGGCCAACAAATTATTATGTGCCTGAATACATTTTTCGTATATTCGGGCAAATAGTAATTCATTAATTTAACATGTAGTCTAGGTTTTGTATTCTGTTTTTTATTTTTACTTTTCTAGATACGCTTACTTGAAAAAAGGGTACTGCATGAAATCCTGACACTTTATTTTTATAGATTTTAGTTTGACATTTATAGTTTACCTGCTGTTGTTTTATTTAATAAGAATACTTATATTGTGCCTACAAGTTTAATACCTTTGAATATAAGTTTTATTTTATCATACTTTTTAATATGTTTCTTTGGGGCTTAACAAAATGGGAGTCTTTAAATGGTGTGGATATTGGAAAAAATGGGTATGGTCACTGAGGGGCGCTGTAAAGCTTTCTCGCACAGGGCGCCTAAAGCCGGCCCTGATGTAATGAGCTAGTACATTGTGCTATAATATATTTTTGTGATCCATGTATAACAAACAAAAAGAGATTGGAAAAAGAACACCAACACACCTAAATTCCAAAGATCTGCTCACGAGATGAACTTCGCTTCAGAAATGACAAAGAGCAATGGATCTGACACAAATATGAATGCCTGAATAAGCTTGATAGGAAAAAAAAAAAAATGAAAACTGACCTTAACGACCGCCACATGATTACAAATGCCACAACACAAAAATGTGAAACAATACAACACCCCCACGGGGAAGAGCAATCACAAAATGACAACACCGAACGATGAAGAAACTCCACACACATGACAGGACATAGGAAAAGTGACCCTCGTTTCCA